GGATACAGGAAGCAATTGTAGAATAAAGGGCCATGGTGACCAAGTGCTTCATTATCAGAGTGGATGAGTAGACAAGTCGAATTACTTATAGAACATTTCTAAATAGAACACTGTCCCATCACTCCCATCACCTTAGAGCATATATTATTATCCCTTCACTCCATCATTTGTTGTCTTTAAAAGGAGTGTTAGGTTTCTAATAGCTGTTATTTTGTCAGCAGCTGATTGTCAGTAATGGATCCTTGGTTGTTCTTTGGTCCAACCCATTAGTTGGTGTTAAGAAAAAGGTTCTTAAAAGAAAGAGTTTTATGGTACCATTGTTGTTAATATGAGCTCAAAGGGAAGTTGAACTTCCCCAGAGGTTTACCAAATGGATTTTTGGGGTTGGGGTGGGGTGTAAGAAAGCTGGTGAGCAAAATTGGATTGAAAACATTTAAACTTGCAAAATAGGTTCTAGAAATTGAGGAACTATTAGGTTAATGTCAGGAGTTAATAACAATGAGTACAAGATTGAATAAAATCTTCTAAAACTGATTGTGGTAATGATTGTGCAACTCTTTTGGATGCGATCGGACTACCACATTTTATTTATCAGTAGCACTGTCGGTAAGAAAAGAAAAGAAACACCTCTGTCTATTGGATGGACAAACTACTGCAATGTCTTCTGGGAGATGTGTTTTCAGGCTATTCAGGATCAGCATAAACACTAGTAAGGAATATGAGTTTCATTGTTGGTGATTTGATTTGCTTCCTCCGATGAATCAGATAACATCAGAGTGGTGGTAGGAAAGATGCCACCTACATAGAACAGAGGGGCGGTGAGAAGCTTGCTAAAAACAAGGAATTAGATTGTCTCTCTATCCAACCTAGATATTCGTAGGGAATCATACCATAATTAAAGAGGACACAAAGCTGTCCCAAGACAAACTCAACCCTCCATGTGCTCTATCAAAATAGAAGGGGCAGCGCTCTAAAGAAAGGTCAAGCCAACACCGGGGCCGTGGTTGCACTGGGGGATGAGCTAGACCACTGGAAAAGGGTCGTCAAGGAAACGCCCTGCTCCAGGAACCGGAACGTGAGGGAAGTTCAGCGTTAGCCCAACTAATAAGCAGGCCAGCAGAGGGGACGTGTAGCTGAGATGACAAATGAGAGGGCTGAGATCCAGCCACCATGGGTGACTGAGTTCGTGTTGAACGATGCTCCGTCAAAACATGTGGGATGGGGAACAAAATATCCTACGTATTTTTACTAATTTAGCTCAAAACTAAGAGAAGAAAACACCTTAGACAAGCAACACAAAAGAGGAATCAAAGCTTATGGGGTAAGGAACTGAAGCAAAAATTAATTCCTGGGACTATTAGGATAGATAGTAAATCTTAGTAAGACCTATACCTTCACAGGTTCAAATATCACGAGGTAAGAGTGGGCAGCGTTGAACTTCCACATCTATATTACTAGACCCCCAAGTCTGGAAGATGCCACCAGCCAGGGGATCGGGTGCAGCAATTGTTTGTAACATGATTTCTAAGTGTACTAAAGTCAAACAAGCAAAGAAACACTGGCCCGTGGTCTGAAGCAGGTAGATGCAGAGATGTAGGCCAAGAGACCCGATGGGTCTGGATTTCCCAGCGCCTTCCGCCCCACCTGAGGAGCAGGTGTTTCTCCCGGGAAATGACCAAATGACCTGCCAAAAAAGAGAGCGGAGCAGAGGGGCGACGTGGTCCAGTCAGCACTTGGGGAAGCAGGCCGTGAGAACCGACGGGGCTGATGGGGAACCTAGACGGGCCCGTGGTGTTCTGGGGAGACAAGGAAAAAGTATGGGAGGTGGAATGGAAGCAGGACATCTTGTCCCGGAAGTGTCCGGGGAGAAGGGCCGAGAAAAACAAAAGGGGGTGGGGAGCGGCGGTGAGGACCAGCTGCCTTGGTAACCGGCTTGGGCTTTCCTGGCTGGTTGGGCACGAGGCGCTTCCAAGGGGGTGCGCGGTGGGAAGGGTGGCATTGGGCTCGAGAGCCTGGTGGGGGGTTGGGCAAGAGACGTTGGCACCTTGTTCTTGCGCAGCAGAAGCACCCTCCCCACCCTTCAGCTGGGCCCCCAAGGTAGTGATGCTTCAGCCCCAGGGAGCTCACCCTGCAGACTCCCCAGGGGGTTGATTTAGATTCTCCGTGACCGCCTGTTCGTGTTATTTGAAACGCTCCCCTTGTCGCTTTTGAAGGAGAATCCAGCACCGTTTGACGGGATGTATTCGTGTTGTCCGTGGGCCTCCCTTGGTGTGTGAGGTCTGCCGGGGCTCAGTCCAGGCAGGCCCGCACGCCCAGCCGTCCCGGGTCTCCTTAAATAGGAGGTTGGCATCGTCGACGTACCACCAGTTTTGAAAAGTGTCTGCCGTCCTTTACAACAAACAGAGGCGCTTGTTTTTAAAATCATGTATCCTTGGTGTAGGCGGTTCTTAAGCTGGCTAGAAGGAGGCCCATGAGGAATTTCATGGTCATTTAAATGGGAGCAAAATAAGATATAGCGAACACTTCCAACTCCTTCGGGAAAACAAACCTATTTAAAAACAAACAAGACCTCCCCCAAACAAAACAAAACAACACTAGTAACTAGTAATATTCTTACCCTACTTCAGGGTTGCGTGGTGAATGAGATGGTGCGATAGGCCCCCATCAAGCAGAGACCCTAGTCCCCCAGTATCGCCGGTACATCTTCATCGAGAAGCTGCGGGTCCCCCCACCCCCTCTGGCACAGGAGGGAGACCCCAGGGCACATGATGATGCTGGAGGAATGCAAAGGGAAAGAAAACACAAGAACGTTCAGCAAATTTCCTCTGACATGTTTTCTGTTTTTCTCCTCTCTTTCCTCGGACAGCAACATGGCGACCAAAAAGCGAGAAGTCCAGTTGCAGGTGGGCCTGCCATGTTCACAGTTGTGTCCTGACTGTGCGTGTCCTTGAACTTGACTGTCCTTTACAGTGCATTCCTTTTTGCAGATGGTCATCAACAGTCAAAGCTTGTGGGATGAGATGTTGCTGAACAAAGGCTTGACAGGTATGGGGCTCCCTGGTAGTCTACCCCAGGGCCCAGGAACCCCTCATGCCCCAGAAGAGGGTGAGGCTCCTTCGATGGTGCATGAAACCAAACTAACTCTTTGCTGTCCCTTGGCCCAGAATGGAAGTCTGCTGCGATGACAGGTTCTTGGCTCTGACCTTTTGTACATACTATCATCTTCTAGTGATTGACGTCTACCAAGCCTGGTGCGGACCTTGCAAAGCCATGCAGCCTTTATTCAGGAAATTGAAAAACGAGCTGAATGAAGATGAAATTCTGCATTTTGCTGTTGTAAGGATTTCCTTCCCATTAACTGCTATTTTCTGCTAAGTTAAGTGTCCTTATTAAGGAGCCTCAAATACTCTAGGTATTGTCGCAATATAAACAACCTTCAAAATGGATCGTGTTTGCTTCACAGTTGAGATGGAAACGTGATCTGAGGTTCTTTACCATGATTGTGAATGGTAGAAAAATGTAAAAGTGGATACATGTCTATTGGCTTGTTTACTTGGACCTCACCAGTGTGTGTCCCTTGGAATAAGGGCTGCATATGCTGCTTCTTGGTGGTCCAGTGGCTAAGTGCCTGGATGTGAACGGGAAGGTTGGCAGTTCAAATTCTCCAGCTTCTCCCAGTCTGTTTCTCTAAAGATTACAGCCTTGGAAACTGATGGGCGGATGGACTCTGGACTAGGCTGCCTCTATGAGTCAGAAAAGGCTCTATCGTGATGGATGTGCCCTTTACTTATTTCCATTGCGCAGGACTGGGGACATTTACCCAGTTAGTGATTTTTCCAATGATAGGGCTTTTCGCTTCACTTGTATGTACTACCCAGATGTGTCAAAGGATTAAAAATGTCACGGCCAGACCAATTAGCCTTCATTGTGTTGTACTGCTTATTTGATTTATCCACATCAAATTACGACTGATTAGGGCTGGGTTGTTCAATATAATAGCCACTGGGCACAAGTTCAAAGAGATGGATTGTCACAGTGGCTGCAACAATGGGCTCAAACACAATATCCAGCCTACAGGGAGTGCAGGACTGAGCAGTGTTTTCTTCTGCTGATCACAGAGAGGGTCACTGCGAGTCAGAGGGGGTTCACTAGCTCCAAACTCCAGCAATAGGCAAGATTGTTATTGAGTATTTTGAGATATGGCTAAGGAAGCTGATGAACTGAACTTTCGATTTTACTAAATTTAAATGTTAACAATTTTTTAGTGATTGGAAGACTTTAAACTGGAAAGACTTGGGTATGTGAATTGCTGTAAGGTAATGAAATTGAATTGAATATTCAGTTTAAGTTTCTTCATCTGAATTGAAATATGCTATAGGTATAATGTATTCACCTAGGACTTGGAAGACTTCATACAAAAAAAGAGTACAAATCCCATTACTTCATATTTACATTTAATACCTGTTGAAATGAATAATATTTTGGAGTACATTGGACTAAGTAATACATTGCTACATTTTTAGGTATTTTTTCTTACTTTTTAAATGCGAGTGTTTACAGAGCGATATGTGGCTCCCATTAGATTTGTGGTAGACCAAAACCCATTCAACCCAACTGGGCCCAAGATACAGAAGCAGATAATTGCTCAGCTGCTCATCTTTATTCCTGAACTCTGACACACACATAGTCCCTGATGCAGATGAGGAACTTCAACCCATTGCATGATCTTTGTCCTGACCCCTCTCCAACTTGACCTTGGGACGAGTTTGGTTACGGACCTCCATTGTGGTTGACTATCTACAACCTTCCTGCAGATGCATACTTTACAGAATGTCTTTTCCTTGGCTGAGGTTTAGCATACATGTGCCAAAGCCTCCAAACGCACCACTTAGCATGTTTCTGCTGCTCAAGAGAGAAGAAAGTAGGTAGCTAGGCCCAGTCATTAAACCCTGTTGTGCTGAGCAAAGGGATTGGGGTTGCCTTCTGAGATAAAAGCCTTGTAGTTTCCAGCCAGTTTCACTCTGTAGAGCAGGGCCACCTGAAAGGAACTAAGGTACAAGCCTAGCCTTGATCTCAGGCAGGAGCAAAGAGACAAATGAACTGAGTATGAGTCTAGAATAGTAGATCCACAGATAATAGACCAGGGTTTGTACAAGTGACCAGTTAAAAGACAGTGTCAGAGAGTTCAGGATAGAAGATCCAAGCCATCAATCTGACTCAAACAGTTAAAGCTTTGTCAGCAGATCCCTCTTATGTTGCAGGCTGGACCTGATCTGGTTTCCACAATTTTCTGTATTTTTGGTTTGTATTGTTTTGTTTGTACATATTAGGGGTATCTCAGGAATTAGGTCATTGGTGGCCACCCTCTTGAAGTTGTGTTATACGTTTTTTCATTTATCGGTAGATGAAAGTCAGGATTGATAAACCTATAGTGATAGCAAGTAGAATTATGGATTTAGAGGGATGAGGGTACATTGGTGGTATAGGGGGGCGTAAGGGAGATGATGTCAAGTTGTCCATGTAGAAAAGAAATGTTTGGAAACTGTGGTAGCAAATGTATAATTCTTCTGGACATGATTGAACTATGGAATGATATGATAGATGTATTCCTTTGCAATTAATAATCTATATGTTTTTAAAGGCAATATCAGAAAGGTCTAACAGCTGGCAGACAACATCACGGAGAATCTAGTGTCGGAAAATATTTGTGATTCTAGCAGTTGACATTGGGGGAGGTTGCCTGGAAGTGGTAATACAGCAAGTTCCCAGGTGAGAGGTTGTGGGAATACTCCCGCGTCTAATAGGAAATTGGACTCAATGGCAAGAGGCCAACAAGAGCAAGACAGAGGGCCCTGGGCACCGGCAAGAGCTCATGGGCATGAATAAGAAGTCCTTAAGTCAGCAGGAGGTATATGTTGTGCACCAGGAAGGTCTGTAATTGTTGGGTGCTGCCAGGCCATGCCCAACTCTATGTACAACTTAACCAAATATCTTCCTGTCCTGGGCCATCCTCCCAATCATTGTTTGCTTGTGCTGAAGCCCCTTGCTGCCAACACTGAGTCACTCCATGTCACCAAGGGTCTTCCTTGTTTGCACGGAGCCATTATCAAGTACATTATCAAATCCATCCGCTCCCTCTTGGTTACATGAGAGTTTGGGTATGAATAAACACGAAGGCTGACTGTGGGTTGGGTGAGATGCTGGAGACTGAGGAGTGAGTGTGTAGTGGGAATCAGACTGCAGAGTTTGCTGAGCTAGCATTTCAGCAGAGCCCGGAGATTCTGCTAAAGCTGGCTGTCAGGCGTGTTCCTGGGAGAGTCCACTAGCACTCTCTTTACAGTGGTCCCTGGCAGGCCCAGAATCTTCACACTGTGTCCACCCAGCGATGCCAGGGCAATAAGGCACATCAGGCTGCCTACTTCATCAGGAACTCAGTTCTACTGCTATATAGCTACCCCACTGGAAAGTGCTACTAAGGCCTTTATAAAATGTGTCCTACTAACCTGTTGAATTTAACAAGAAATAAATGTGTATGGTCTTCCCAAATACTTTAATTTCTGTTATGTTGGAGCTACTGGAGCAATAGAACAATCATATAGGTTGTGCTGTTTTTCATGATATGGTTTGTTCATGAAAGGTGATAGAAATATGTATTTATATTAGTCTCCAAACCTGTACTGTAAGCAATGGTTGATGGAGGGGTGCCCTCTGCTGGACATTTTTATTTGTGCAGTTAGCCACAGAGTACATTTAAATCCGGAATTAAACTTTACAAGGTCAATTACGTATTTTAAAACATTTTTTACTGATATGGATATTTATAAAGAATTTTCATACTACCATTAAAAATTACATGTGTACCTCATTGCGGAGTTCATCTGCATATAAAAAGTCAATCCTCGACAGTAGCTATTATTACTAAAGCTTTCATTCTTAAATAATATATATTTTATAATATAAGCTTACTAAATATGAATAAAACTAGACTATGCTACATACTATACTACTTTTAAATATATTCTTTGGCTCATTTACTATAATATTATAAATTAGTAGCTTTAAGCCCATCTTTATTTTTTTTTTAAAGCAGAATCTCCCCCCACCCACCCACCCACTCCATACCCCAACCCTGCAATGGAATCCAACATCTTAAAAGAGAGCTAGCAATGCTTCTGGGGGGTGGGGAGGAGGTTAAAGGAGCCTCGGCTGTCTTCCTCCTCAGCATCTTCTGCAGCTCATGTGGAACCTCCAGATATGCGAGTTTGTAAACCACTGTTTCAGGTTACCAAAAAACAGTTCTTAGCAGACCTACCAGCCAATTCCTGTCATTGTGGCAGCCAACTGAAGCTATATTAATATGGAGGTGGGCCCCGTTATTTTCTGAAAGGCTTTCTGATCAACTTAATACCACTTGAAATGTGTGAGAGATTTTTCAGATGATTATAAATAGGTGGAGATCAAAGACTTTTCAAATTTGACCGCTGGTTCCCTCAAGAAGCACTTAGTTAGCTAGGGCCAGATATCCCCCAGTCCCTCTGACTCAGGGCCACCCCGCGGCTAGGGAGAACTTGGCTACATCTAATTCTCAGTGGCCATGTTTCAAAGGGGGTTTCCAGGCCTTTCTCCCGAGGCACTTCTGAATGGACTGGAACCACCTTTGGGTGAGCAGCCACAGCAAGCAAGCTAGCAGTTTGCACTCCACAGGGGCTCCTGGAGCAAGCCAGCATCTTATGCTGGATGGCCTTGTGCCCACCAGGGGGAAGGAAAGGGAGGGATCTAGCTGAGGGAAGCCACCATCCTTTCAAGCATGTAAGCTTTCCTGCTAGCAAGGAGAGGAGAGGGACCCCTATCTAACTGCTGTGAGCACCACGGAAAGGGATAGGAAGTGTCTGGTGTGAGAGCAGAGGGCACTATGTGGACGGAGAGGGGATTTACAGCAAGAAGGACATCTTGGGGGAAGCCTACTGGAGTTGGGCTGGAAAAGCTGGAGCAGGCCTCCTGGTCCAGAGAGAGTGGGAGCCCAGGGGATGAGAGAGAACCAGAGACAAGAAAGTGCAGATGCGTCTGACTGAAGATTGAGTTCCCTAAAGAGGGGTAAGGAGAGGAGAGGGTGGGGTCCCGGTGTGAAGGACCCTTTGATGGCAATTTCATCCTGATAACAACACTTCCAAAGATGTTGAAGAAAGCCTCAATTAAAAATTGTATGTGTCGCTACATTTTTTTGAACGGACCTTCTGTCCTGACTTGCCTCGAGTCTTCTTCCTTGTTTTTTTCAGGCAGAAGCTGACAGCATTGTGACCCTGCAGCCGTTCCGGGATAAATGTGAACCTCTTTTCCTCTTTTGTCTTGTAAGTACAGTATTTAGCCTTTCATTTGTGTTATCAGATTCCAGTTTACAGGATAAGGACAATTTCAAACTATAAAACGACTAGGAAACTCATTGCCGATCATCATAATTGCGCATTTTTTTACCTTATCTTTGCTTGTCTATTAATCTATTTTATAACTTGACCTCCACGAGCTCAGAATGTGTGGAGGACATGTGCACAGGTCAAGAAAAAGAAAATAAGATGGCATTTACCTTTTCCTAAAGAAACAATCAGATTTGTGCCATGAGTTAGTATTTACAGTTGTGAAACAGTGAAATTTTTGCTGAAAAACCCAAAAGAAGAGACTTAGTCGTAAATATTCATGTATACCTATAGAAGAAAAATTTCTGCATCATTAAAAATCATGTCAAAGAAGAATATTTAATGACCAACTGATACATTTTAGTTAGGGGACATTTATGTTAGTCTATGGTGAATACATATTAATTATATATATAGAGAGAGAGCGATTTGGAAGACAACTCCTTGGAAAACTGACTTGTTGAGTTCCACATGTGTGCCCATTTCAAAGAAAGGTCACCCAATGGATGGCTCAAAGTATAGACAAGATCATTGATATCACACACAAGTAAAATGTTGCTTAAAATCACTCAGTAATGGTTGCCGCAAGCAATACATTGACAGGAAACTGCCAGAAGTTCAGACCAGATTCAAATGGGGACGTGGAACAATGGATAGCACTGTTGATTGATGTCAGATGGATCTTGGATGATCATAGAGAATAACAAAAAGATTTTTTACTTGTACTTTCTTGCCTATGCCAAGGCACTCAATTGTGTAGGCCATAATAATCTATGAATCACCTTGAGAAGAATGGGAATTCCATACCACTTAACTGTGCGCATGAGGAACCTGTACATGGATCAGAGGCAGTTGTGGGAACAGAGCAAAGGAATGCTGTGTGGTTTTAAATCGGGAAAGGTGTGCATCAGGGTTGAGTCCTCTCACTGTGTTTTTGTTCAATCTCTATGCTAAACAAATTATCAGAGAACCTGGCTCATATGAAGAAGAATGCGGCATCGGGAGCAGAGAAAAGCTGATTAACAGGTTGCAAGATGCAGATGACACAGCCTTGCTTCATGAAATCAAGGAGAAATTGAAGCACTTAATATTGAAGCTCAAGGGTTGTAGCCTTCAGTATGGATTACAACTCCATATAAGGAAGACCGTATCAATAGGTAACATCAGGACAAGTGAAAAGATTGAAGTTGTGAAAGATTTTGGCTTCCTTGGATCCACAATCAATGCTCATGGAAGCCGCAGGTAAGAGATCAAAAGACTTGTTGCATTAAGTAAATCTGCTGCATAAGACCTCTTTAGAGTATTGAAGAGCAAGGATGTTACTTTGAGTACTAAGGTATGCCTGCCCCAAGCCATGGAATTCTCCATCGCCTCATGTGCATGTGAAAGCTAGACATTGAATAAGGCAGACTGAAGAAGAATGGATCCACAATTTAAACTGTGGTGCTGGAGAAGAATATTGGAAGTATCAGGGACTGCTAAAAGGACAAACAACTATCTTCGAAGAAGTAAGGCCAGAGTGCTCCTTAGAGGCAAGGATGGCAAGACTTCATCTTATATAAAGACTTCAGACATTGTCAGAAGAGACCAGTCTCTGGAGAAGGACATCATGTTTGGTAAAATAGAAGGGCAGCAAAAAAGAGGAAGGCCCTCATGAGATGAACTGATACAGTGGCTGCATCACTAGGCTTATTCACGGAACAATTGTGAGGATGGCTGAGGACCGTGCAGTGTTTCCTTCTGTTGTGCACAGTGTTGCTATGGGTCGGAGCTGACTCGATTATGCCTAACCACACTCCATCTATACTTTGGTAGAGGCAGAGGTAGAGGTAGAGGTGGTAAAGGTAAAGGTAGAGGTGACAGAGGTAGAGGTAGTGAAGGTAAATGTAGAGGTAATAGATGTAGAGGTGATAGTATAGATAGAGGTAAAGGTAGATGTGGTGTTAGAGGTAGAGGTGGTAGTATAGGTAAAAGTAGAGATAGAAGTGGTAAAGTCAGAGGTGTTAGTAGAGGTAGAGGTAGAGGTGCTAATAGAGGTATAGGTAGAGGTAGAGGTGATAGTAGAGGTAGAGGTGCTAGTAGAGGTAAAGGTAGAGGTGGTGATAGAGGTAGAGGTAGTAATATAGGTAGAAGCAGAGGTAGAAGTAGTAAAGGCAGAGGTGGTTGTAGAGGTAGAGGTGTAGAGGCAGAGGTGGTAGAGGTAGATGTGGAAGAGGTACAGATGGTGAATGTAGAGGTAGAGGTGGTAGAGGTGTTAGAGCAAATTGTCATGGCTGTCTTCTCAAGACCCTTCAGGTAACTTTGACCTTCTGTTTAGTAGTCAGTGTGTAACAACGTGCTCCGCTCACGACAGTAACTGAAAGAGAATTGGGTGGGGGAAAGTGAGGAGTGACTTAATTCAGTTTAAGGGTTAATTTTTTATTTATATTTAAAATTAATGTTCTCTTTATGTTTTATTTTCCCTCATAGAATGGGAAAATTATTTCAAAAGTTACGGGTGCAAATGCACCACTTGTTAATGGAAAAGTTATTCAGCTCATTGAAGAGGAAAGGAAAATTGCAGCTGGAGAAATAGTTCGCCCACAGGTAGTACTTTCGATGAAGAATTTATTTAATTTAAAAAATGCGTCACATTTTCCCATTTTTTCTCTGAAGCATTTCCCCTAATTCTATAGCTATTTATATGTCTACATGCAACCTCTGTGGGGAAGCATTTTGGCAACTGGAATCAAAAGTCTTAAAACACATATATATGCTTTGACTCTGAACTTACACCCTACTAATTATCTTTAACAAGACAATGATACAACTATACATCAAGAATGGTTTATTGTAGTCCCATCTATATCACTGAAATATCTGGAATCATGCTAAATGTCTAGCAGCAGTGAATCAGTGCCACAACATGCATGTAATAGCTATCATACCTTTTACAGACCTGTAAGGTGGGCTGTTCCCTAGTGTGTGCTAGGGTCTATTTGCAGGCATGGAAAGGGGCAGGATAGAAAGATGAGTGAAAAGAATACTATCCTTTCAAAGGAGACTTATGGTAGGTAAGATATTATGTCTATGTGTGTATCAAATACATTACCTATGAGGTGATATTATTCTCTGTGTACAAAGAAATAAAGCATTTTAAAATGAGGACATAAACCACAAAGCATGTGGATATATGGCTATAACAGCATTAACGCATAAGTCACATAAGAAAGAAAAATCCTAATTGTAGCCAGGGAGACAGGAGAGACCAATGTTATTAAAAAACAAAAACTTAGAGAAAATATGATATTAAGAAAGAAAAGGTAAAGAGGAATCAAGTACTGCAAAGACATTCCCTCATCGAAGCATCACACAGGAGTCCCGATTCATCCAGGGTGCAGCACGGCACCGAGGAAACCTGCAACATTCCTCTAGGTCTTTAAGGCTTCCTCCTCCCACCATCATAACCCCGGTTCTACCTCACAAATCCTCATGGATCTTAATATGTACATTGGTACAGCTAAGTGCTTCAGACACATGGATTCCAGGACAGATAAACCCCTCAGAAATAGTAATGGGAGTAGCGATACCTTGAGGGTACGGGGAGGTTAGGGGGAAGTGGAGAAAGGAGGAACGAATAGCAATGATCCATGTATAACACCCCCTCCCCCACAGCGATGGACACATAACAGAAATGTGGGTGGAGGGATACAGCGGATGGTGTAAGATATGAATATATATATACACATACATATATATAAATAATTTTACTAACAGTTTACAAGGGTGGGAGGGTGGGGAAGGGAGGGACAAAAGAGGAGCTGATATCAAAGGGCTCAAGTAGAAACATAATGTTTTGAAAATGATAATGGAAATATGTGTACAAGTTCGCTTGATATAATTTATTTATGGGTTGTTATAATATCTGTAAGAGCCTCTAATAAAATGATTTTTTTAATTGAGCTATAAAGAAAAAAGAAAGAAGTTAAAATATAGGGTTATGTCTGTGTAAGTATTTGCTAATCCAAAGGTATCACTTCAAGTCAGGAACGGATAAGACACTCAATAAACTGATTACAAATAATGAGTTACTTATTCATACAAATAAGATGCATAACTCCATCATACACACAAAAGGTTTCAGATGAATTAAAGGATCAAACATAAGCAGCATGCCATGAGAATATTTAACAAAAATACTGCCAAACATTTATATTGTCAGAGTTTTAGGAAAGCCTTCTAAGCATATAACAAACTAGAAAAATCAATAATAATAATAAAACCCTGAAAGGTTTAATTTTTTAACTTTCAAACTTTCTCTTAAAATTAAAATGGAAGCAATAAATTGAGAAAAATGGCTGGACTACATGTGTCCACGTACTAATATTCATATTCTGATTTTTTAACACATTAATCCACTGGCTTTATAATGACTCCAAGCACCTTACACAATAACTTAGGGAAAAGATACACACTCCAATAGGAACGTGGCACGTGATGGATAGGAGAGTTTACATGTATGACAATGACTTCTCTTATTCAAGACTTTCTATTCTTTTTTACTTTTTCAAGTGTTCTTGTTGTCCAGGGAAATCTGTGTTCATTCTAACCTCTGATTCCTCTTCTAGAAATCATTGTAGCTGGCAATTATTGAGGACATTCTATTGATAAGCTCTTCAAATTGATATTTATTTATCACACCTGTGTTATTACCTCTTTACAAATGGATTACGTGAGGCTGTAAGAAACTTGGTCTTGTGTCCAGAACTAAGCTTATTAGTGAAACTGGAATTCGAAGTGAGGCAGGTCGAATCCCAGATAACTGCTCCTTGATTGACAGCCCTATTCCACCGGGCCTCCTTGATGTGTCCATCTGCTGGATGATTTTAGTGTTGCTCTCTTGTTTTTGCTCCTCTTGCAGAATGATATTCTATTTTAATTCATAGCTGTGTGCATATGAGGAATTTATAGACATTGTACGATTCCATTTTGTGGAATAACCATACTGCTGTATTATTTATTTAAATCATTTTATTGGGGGCTCTTCCAACTCTTGTTACTAACCATACATCAATTGTATCCGACATATTTGTACATATATTCCATCATTCTTTTCTAGACATTTCCTTTCCATTGAGCCCTTGGGATGAGCTCCTCCTTTTATCCTTCCCCTCACCCCAGCCCTCGTGGCCCCCTGATAGATTATAGATTGTTAATTATTTTCAAATCTCACTCTGACCGCTGTCTC